CTCTACGAAACAGAATCTATCAAGTCATCTCAATAATGCATGGATGGCGCACACCTCTAGTCTACAGTGCTGCTTTATCTTTTCTAGAGTAATGCATTTGAAGAAAGTTCTGGCTTACGAAAATGAAGAAAACTGCGCTTTCCCGGAGTTTCCTTTGAAATCACCCGAAAACGATATTTTCCTATTATTTTCTGCAAGCTTTGCACTACCTAAAGAGTACTTTTCGAGAGACTCCTATTTTTTTTACCAAATTGGAAACTGATCCGTATTGAAGAAGGTTTTGCTAAATGCGTGTTCCAGCACAGGCGTTCGGTACGCGGGAACAGCTTAGCATGAAAGTCTGTTGGAAGGTAAAGCTGGTTGCATATCAAAAATTCCTTAGAGAGCATTGCTGGCTACCTTCTGCCACCATGACATCATCTTGTCGTGGTGAGGAATACTGCTCGGAATACCTTGGTAATACTTCACAGAATGAGGATTGAAAATGTTCCTGAAGTAGTAAACAAGGTGCCACGTACTCTCTTTGAGAGTAGGTATGAGAACCGACGTATGAATTGTTTGCGCTCGCTTCAAGAACTGAGACACAGCCACTAAGATTACAGCACCTTGAATCCATCCATTGAATCCTAAAAATGAAACAGTGTGATAAAAATGTCTAGTATGACAATTAGCTTGATATCCGACCACCACCAACAAGGCGCTCTCTGCTCATTTCATCTCGACAGCACAATGTTCAAATTATGTGGCCACATAAACTGTAGATATATTAGGTTGTAGGGAAAGTTCTCGCGGTTTTTCGAAGCACGTTGAGCTCTGGTTGAGCAACTTTTTTGAATCGAAGCCAGAAAAGTTCTTTGCCGAAGGCATCAAAAGTCTGCCCGAAAAATGGCGAAGAGTGATAGAACGTGATGGTGATTACTTTGTTTCCTAATATGTTTTCTTGTTGATAAAAAATTAAGGTAATGATATGTGTCAAAAACCGCGAGAACTTTCCCTACAACCTATTACTAGCGGAAACGGAAGATATGGTTCTTTAAGTTTAAGCTTGATATTAAGAGAAAGCTTGCAGAATGTAGGTCGTGCTTGGAGTCTCATATTGTGGGAAGTGGAAAGCCGGACGAACATCTTAATTGCCGTAAATCCAAGTATAGCTACCTGAAACAACCTTTTTTCGAACACTGTTCACAGCACCACGCGTGTGAGCGTGCCCTCAAAATCAAGGTCCGAGTGGAATAAAAGGTGATGTAGTGAAAATGAACATGGAAAAACTCCGAAACACTATCGGAACATTTCTACCCCATAAAGGACGACGTGCGCCACATGAAGGCGCACAATTGTTTCTTTTGTTTTTGCTACGCTTTCTAGCAATCTTATTTACCCAGTATATACTCTCAACACGCGAATAACATACTTTCTCTCCCGGACTGATGAATTCTTTTGACAAACTATAATAATTTTGGGTAGCCGCAGCTGAAGCGCGTGCAACCAACTGGGCCCACTATGGGATGCGCCGTGTGCTTCACATCTCGGGGACCTACATGAAAGATAAAATATCCCTAGAAAACGTGCGAATTTCGGATCCTTTGACTCGTGTGGTGATCAACACACTAAATTCACAAAGAATTGCTAAGCGGACACCTCTAAATCACGAAGATTCTGTGTGGGCGGAGCTTCATTAGCTTACTATTTGATGGGTGGCTTACAGATGGTTCACTCGTCCCGAGACCCCTTCCCCTAAATATAGCCACATCCTTGCTCGGGGTTGTTGTTTCCGCATTTTTCATGATTTCACCTGCAGCTTCCATTCATTCTTTGCACCCTAGTTTTAGAGCGGAAAGGCGGGTTACGAAGTTGTCGTCAACGGAAATCTCTTCTTTTGGATGATGAGACAAGGACACCTACTTTAGCCCCGTCTTAACCCTGCTGTTCGCATAAGCCTACATAAACCCTACCCTGTGTGGCGGCGTGCGCCACCATGTGGCGCACGCAAAAAATACACTGGCCGTCCGTTATGGGTTACACAATAATATTATCAGATGGAGACCACGTGACAGGTGGTAATTTTGAGGGTTTTAATTGTCATCATTCTTACCAAGATTCTTTTTGTCTGCCCCATCATTTTTTGCAACGCGAACTTACCGAAATTGTGCCTCTCCCCTCAGTCCGTTTTTCCCGTTTTGTTGTGGGTGGGATCCTTTGAGCATTCACCATGTCGTATATGATTCACGTTTTCATGCGCGCACGTATGGAAGCTTACATAGACCTGGAATTACGGCTTGAAATGGGTGAGGAAAAGCGATATTGATTGTGCAAGGTAGTAAAGGTTGAAATTTTGAGGGACCGCAGGATATTGATCGATATTCTTCAAAAACACTTTTTTTGGGCGAAGTGTACTTAGCGAATAGCGGGTGACATCGATGAGCGGTTAGACGTATGGAAGCGGAACTCTTTAAGTCATAACCCCTTCATCGGTATTTATTGACAACATCGGTTTTGTGGGGTGCTCGAAGCGGGCAAGGAACCAGTGTTGATTGGGTAGGGTAATGCGTACAATGCCCGTGATGCTGACGGCAGACCTGCCTAATCAAAATAAATGGCTGAAAGATAGAACACTCTTACAGAGAAAAAAATGGGTGAAGGTGTGCACCGGGATGCCACACAAAAGCAGGGCAGCCATCTTGGGTGAAGTGCTTCAAATTAGCGGTGTTTCCATATAGAAGGCACTTCAAAAAGTGGAAAAAAATCTTGTAATCATTAGCAATGTCTAAAAATTGCTACACAAACTCCAAACGAGCGAATGGGCGGAAGAGCACAATGGTTGCTCAGATAGGCGAATGTTCTTCGAAGCCTTTTTTGCGGTCAGAGAAGCTCCAGTGTCAGGGAAAAGGAGGGTTTCATAAGTCATGTGAGTTAAAATTTATACTTTCAACTAGGTACCGGTGAAGCTATTGTTTGGCTCGTATAACTTCGTATAATGTATAGAATTGTATACAGACTGACTTGTTGACTGTACTCATCGAGTTGAGGGTGATTAATGAACGAGTAAATCCGCAGTTGCAAATAGTGAGTAGAGAAATCAAAATCGTTCGGGGCGCACGCGAGAATGAGACGGTGCGAAGAAGATCTGACCGCCAACACCTAAAGATTCTATTCAAACAAGATCCGCTGCTCACTCTAATACTCTCCATTGTACAATACACTCATGCGCAACATAACGGAGGTAGTCCTGCTGACCTTGCAAGTGGACGCCAGTTAGCGAGAGGTGTGAATTGTTTAAAGGGAATTCTGGTTCGATTGCCGTGGAAAAGCTAGTGATGTGACGAGGAAGACTACCAAAACAAGCAATCCGACAGAGAAGGAGTGGGCAGCAAGACCTCGTCGGACAAGCAGCTAGGATGGAGGCGTTAGGGAGATCATACAAGATCATCACATGTTTTTCTTCTTTATTTTCTTGCTTTCAACTCCGTCCCGTGCCCTCCCCTGGTGTGTACTACGACTCCAAAAGTTGAAAATTGTGTTAACAGCCGGCCAAACCAATAAAAATCCAACGATAGTAGAGAAATCCTTTTGTTATGACTGGAAATATTGGATAAGTTTTTGCATGTTTGTCATAGCTTCGAATCTAGGTCGAACAAAGGAGGAAGAGGCCTCTGTCGTTGTGACGTGAACAAATTTGGTAAAGTTTTTGCCTGTTTGCTTTAACTTTTATATTGACATTTCGGAACCATCGTAACGTTGTTGACTTTACGTAATAATCCTCCAAAGCTACTGAATATGGATGGTTTCACAGGTATGTTTAATCAATGGATTGAGTGTTAGGTCCCGTCGACAATGCAGCCATTTTTCATATTTCGCCTTTCCTTGGCACTTGTGGTACAGTTGCCTCTCGCTTTTCAAGGAATTTAAGTTACCTCTGCAACTATGAAATTATTTCAGCTGGTTACGATAACATCAGCACAATACGACCAGGAAGAGCCGAACTATGACGGTAATTACGATGATTACCAAGATGAAGGGCAAGGCAGTTCATCTGCAGCCTTAACAACAAATGCGGCGGAGAGAACAACAACAACTACTGCAACCACAACTACAACGACAACACCACCAACAACAACGAATGGACTGCCCTCAAATCCTAGTAAGCTTCCTCAATGAGTAGCTATGATATCTTACTAGACTGGCCATCAGTTGTCTACATGGGGTGGGGGGGGGGTGGGGTAAGGAGGAGTGCAAAACAGTGTTATTCCGCCCATAGCATACACCACCAATTTTTTCTTCGCACAAGATACCGCCTTGATGGGCAAAATATTACCATGTGTCCCTCCATAAGCATAAGCAAGTCCTACTTCACTGCGCTCACCGTCTTCGGCATATGATGCCATCTGCCGTCGCTCAAAGGGACACCGTAGTCGCTCCAGTCTGAAGCTCAACTTCAGACTGGAGCGAAGCACAATTTCTTCGGCCGCTAAAATAATGGACAGCTTTTTGGAGACAGTTCCTCTGACTATGCAATAGCCCACGAAACCTTTTGAAGACGTTTTCGATGTTGAGCCGTATAAAAGGCTTCGTGGGAAATTTTTCTAAGGTCACCGGAATATCATGAAAATTTTTCAATAAAGTGGAATGAGCTCTTCAATTCCAAGTTGAGCGTTCAATGTTAAGGGGAGTGGCTTTTTAGCCTCCTCCCTAGTATATTGAAGACCACCTAATCTTCTGCAGCTCACTTTTTCGTTCCCATGAAGAGTATCAAGACTTAATCTTTCTACCCAAAAGCACGCTTTTATCAGGTGCTTTTCTGTAAGGAAAATGTTTACTCTCACAAGGTTGCTGGGTTCAAAACTCTTCGCCTCAGACATTGTCGGACTCGCACCTCTTACTTTCCGGGTGGTTGTGCTACTGTTCAAACCACCGGAGTAAACGAGCCTATTAGCCGACATCGGCAGTGAACCACGAGGCTATGCATTTGCTAAGTGCTGTTTTTGACCGCAATTCGCCATGAAATGTTATCGCAAGGATGCATTTCCAAGCAAAAACAAAGCGAAAATTTGTATTTGCTGAGGTTGCGCTTTTCAGTGATCAATCAGATATGCTCTGGGAACCGTGGCATGAATGACAGAATCAGAAGAATTGCGCTCGAGTCACACAATTACAGAAGGTTTAGTGAAGTTTTCCCATATTTCTTCTCTAGCATATTCAAGTTGGCAGCCTTCATTCTCTAATTGACATGGCACAGATCGAGACTTGCCCAAGGAATGGTCAAAAAAAATAACGGAGCATTCCTTCGTCCTGCAACCAATATGTTCAAGATGGTAGGCAATTTCATATTGATGTTTCCGAGTAAAGTTATAGTTTTTTGTAGTACGGAGCAGGCTCTAACTCAGCAGGAATATTCTAAGCAAATGCTGCACTGATGTAGAACTCTAGCCCATCGATACCAAGAGTATGCAGTTTTCTGCATATTTTTTACCAAAAGTTCAAAAACTTAGGTTCATGATGAGGTGATCCAATCTTGCCGAAAGCCACTGTTCGCAAAGGATCTTATCCGTTCTGGACAATGTAAATATCACAGCTAAGGTCACATACGATGTTGTTTTGGCATTGCAAAAAAGCCATTCTTGCCTGAAATATAAGAACTTAGTCATGTTCGGTAAGAAAAACAATTACGACTATTCTGCAGCAGAGGTTGTTCTGAGCTTCCTGCGGGAACTATGCCTGCACAACTGCGGCCCTAATGATAGCCTGAGCTCCGCTTTCAGCGCAAATGCAAGGCACTTTCACATTAAACAAGAATGATATTCGTCCTCAGACACTCGACTTACACCTGCCTTCGTAATAGCGAAATGTTTAAGCGCTGATCGGAAGTGCTTCTGAAGGAATTAAGCGATGGTCGTGGACCGTTCTCATCGCTGGCTTTTGTAATAGTTAGCCCATAATTAGCGAATTTGCCCATGAACTGCATCTGGAGGTTTCCAATATTTCACGGTAACCAGGAATTAGCTGCAAAATTGGTCGACTCCAAAAAGGTGGAAGAAAGAGGGCGAAGGTGGAAGAAGAGAAAAATTTTCTAGTGAAGAGACAATCAAACCTCATAGGGGCGCGGAACGACACGCAGTTTGCATCGAAGGATATGCCTGTGATCTAGCATGGCCTTCTTTCTTCATGACTTTTGACGGAGGAGGTTTTGACGCGCTGTCGGCACGGTACGCCCCTTTTTGCCGTCTCAACCTTTAGCCTTTTGGCAGAAAAGTATCGTTAGCGCTGAAGAGAGCAGCACAATGAAAGTCGTATCGAAGCATGCATTGTCAGACAAGGAAGGGTCTCATTTTTCAGGTTCTAGGGCTTTTTTCTTGGTTCTCTTTTCTTTTATCCATCACTGTCCTATTTCAAACTTCAATGAACTGCGTTTCAATCGTAAAATCCGTACTTGTAATCACAGCACCCGATTTGCAAAATTTGCAGCGGAGGAAAAAGTTTGTTGAGTCCAGATGGCATTAAAAAGCGCCAGCGCATAGTACTTAATGTATTCACGATTAGAGACGTGAGGGGGAGATAAGTTTCACAAAAATCTCTCTCTCTGGTTGTATTGCCACGTGGTGGTGAAGACATCAGTAGCTATAATTGCAGTTCTAGACACAGTCAATCCAATGCAATCTGACATACCGAATACGAACCCCATGCTAGCAAGCGCACGAAACAGCTTTGCTCGAGCGGACTGGGAACCGTAAACTTGGAAGAGGCGTAACATTCAATGCTATAAGAAGCAGACTATAGTAGTGGAACAAGGAAAGCTTCGCGACAAGTGACTTCGCAATGTTGGCTAACAAAAAGGGAAAGGATGTCATGCCACCTCGTGAAGCTGAACCTGTAAATCCGCGTCTCTATCTCTCCTGTGAGTTTGACAGAAGCTGGAATCAAAAATAGCCCCGAAAAGATTGTATGGATTCTTGTGGTTATCCAACCTCTGCCACCATCCGAATACCGCAGGCACACAGCCCTTGACAGTGCTTTGTTGTCTTACCTATACTAGAAAGAATGCTCACCTGTGCTGATGAAGTGGAACAAGACGCACCAGGATAGTTCCTCTCAACGCTGTTCCGTTTAATCAAGGATAAAACTCTTTACAGAGATATGATTGCGAACTAGAAACTTCGGCGAAACAAGTCGCTGATAAATGCAGTACAAGTCCTACGACAGTTCTTCCATCTCAAGTAAAGGAGAACATCCATCGCATTCCCAAAAGCAGCGCGCGCTTCCGAACTGATGCCATGGCAGAGGTTTCTTATATTTTGTGCCACATTATTGCGATAACTAACTTAACTTAACTATTAACTTGTGAATGACCGACTCCTTTAGGCAGTCAAGTACTGGTGGGGTCTGGTGAGGCGCGTTGACGGTATCGGAAGGAAAGCCATATTCAGACAAAAGCATGAGTCTAGCCCAATCAGACACTTCACTCTGGTGAGAACGTTTTAATATCGATCATTACAAAAGAAAGAGTGTACACAGACAGGGAAGGAGGATGAAAGTATGTAACGATGTAGATCTTCTAGAATTATTGCAAAGTTATTTGTATCGAATCGAAACACTCACTGTCAAATCTTATATTACTCTAATGATCATGGACATTCTCCTCAATTCCCTTTCAGAGCTTCCTCAGTGCGGTTTCTGGTTTATTCGATTAAGGGTAAGAGAGAAGGCGTATGGTGCGATAGTCCGTGCTGCCTGTGATGCCTCCAGTTTTTGTGTGTGGTGAGGCAAGCGGGGACTCTTGATGCACGAAATTTTGCGTATTGCTTCTCATGCCTCTTCACTCCTTTTGGGAGAACGCAAGGTTTTTCTTGACGTGAATGATAGTCGACCGAAAAGCTTCAGATGGCATGGGCAACCACCGAATACATTGGATGCGCTGTGTCGCTGTCGTGCCCCAGCGAGTGGTATATTGTATGTCACTACAGAAACGGGTATCGCTTCAGACTTGTATATTATAATATCTATCTCAAGATCTAGTTTGACAATTCACTTGGTTGTTTTCAGAGGTAATATTGTAAACGAACACGTTTACATGCCAGGTCCCACATGTTCAGACTGTCCCACAAGCTACCACTGTGGCGCAGACAAGTTGTGCACGAAATCTTAAACAGCCTCCATGCTTTTTTCTATAAAGGAAAATAAAGTTTTCACGCAGTTTTTGTAAACATATTGATTATCTGTTTATCTGTCCTAGTGTGATGCAGAAACTGCACGAAAACCAATATGAAGCTCCTTCTATATGAACTACTTTCTGAGTTTAGAAAACCTAGGCACACGCTCTATTCGAAAAACTACTACACGCTGACAAGACAATAGTAGAAGCCATTTCATTAACCAGGACAGCATCCATTCTTTCCGTGAGAAGGCCTCGAAAGTCATCTAGGAAGGAAGCTAATTAATTGTGGGCTATGGATAGCATAAACCTTGTATATTGACAATGGTATTTTAATTAACGTTTTTCTGAGAAAGCAGCAAAACCTCTCATGGGACCACCTAAGGAATAGTGGCATTTTTTCCAATCAGCCACTTGGGGTCGCGCCACCATGCATCGTCATCGGCCAGCTTACTTCTTTAAGTGAGAGCAAAATTAAGCGAAAATTGGTGGGTCACAAAGAATGCAGTTAACAGCAGATAGTGAGTGATAGCCGTGTGTGTCACAGAGATTCCTCATTTCCACAAAGCCCATTTGTAGTGATTTTCATAGTGGCGGTAGTGATGTTTAAGGCTTGTTCGTTCTAGATTTCCTCACACCACGGTTCTTAGATGGAATTCAATCCTACTGAATAAGCTCACTTTTGAAATCTTAACGAAACGGGACGCACTGAGGACGTCCACATTTGCCACTTTTTTCCAAATGGTTGCGCGAACGCTCCTGCACTCTGTGCCACTCCTTGGCCAACTCGCTGCATGGACAACCCGTAGTGGCGTGGGCCTCGCCAAGGTATGACCTTAAGCCGAGACCAGTCTCCGTCGTCACCCACGGTAGGGTTCTTCGGCCAAATGGTTCTTCCCTTCCTGAATAGGAACGAGGCTAAGCTATCCCAAAATGCTAAGGCTTCCTCATTTACGAGAGCAGGTCATCGGGACTCTCTGTCATGCGTTTGAACACCATCATCTGTTTACTTTTTTCGGTAACACGTCCATGCCCGCGTTTCTTAACAGAGCTCGCATTAGCCAGAAAACTGTTTTTTTTTCTCACATAGTCAGGTCTAGGCACCCGACAGAGAGCGCCCTTGATTCACCGCTAGTCCCATAGAAAAACCTGTGGCAAACTCGGGCGTTGGGCACGGTAAGACGTAGAGAATAAGGCGTCAGGAGATTTATAGCTCTTGATAAAAGGGGGATCAACGTTGAGGCGCACATTTGAGCGCTGAATCTCTTATTGTTTGTTCAAAATGTCGATGGTTTTGATGCGCTGTAAGTGTGTGGATGCAACGACACACCCTACTGTGGGAGCAGTGTCTGCCTTTCTGCCACTCTCATACAGGCCTGTAATACTCATCGAGATGTTTTCGATACGAATCGTCCCTCCCAAAGGGAAGTGAAGTAATCCCAGCTCATAGTTGGGGCTTCGCTTCATAAACTTTGAAGCTTTCCCTTAACGAATCAAGGAGTGGAACTCAGCGCGGAGGAGACGATGGTCCGATCCCGTATAGAACTTTGGAACAATAACGACATCTGTCAGGCAGAACCTTTGACTGAAATGATGTGGGTATTAAGTTT